CCGAGCCCCCCCGCGCCCCCAGCGCCCCAGCGGGGGCCCCGCCCGCTGCCCCCTCCGCCACGAACGTTTAGTTCCGCGTCGCCCGCCCACCCCCACCACCCCACCCACCCCGCGCCCCCAGCGCCGGAGTGGGACCCCCGCGCCGCGGCTCTCTGCCCCGAGCCCTTCCGCGCCCCCAGCGCCCCAGCGGGGGCCGCGCCCGCTTTTTATTCAGCGTCGCACCCTCTCCTCCCCCCCGCGCCCCCAGCGCCAGAGTGGGGCCCCCGTGCCGCGGCTGTCCGCTCGCGCCCCCAGCGCCCCGGCGGGGGGCCCGCCCGCTGCCCCCTTCCGCCACGAACGTTTCATTCCGCGCCCCCTTCCCCCGCCCCCCCCCCCCACCGCGCTCCCCAGCGCCAGAGTGGGACCCCCGCGCCGCGGCTCTCTGCCCCGAGCCCCGCCGCGCCCCCAGCGCCCCAGCGGGGGCCCCGCCCACTGCCCCCTCCGCAACGAACGCTTTATTCCGCGTCGCGACGCACACCGCCTCCCCCACCTTCCCCGCGCCACCAGCGCCCCAGTGGGGGTTCCGCCCCGTGCCCCTTCCGCCCCGAGCATGCCATTCCGCATCGCGACGCGCGCCACCCTCCCCCCCACCTTCCCCACCTGGGATTTGGGCCCCGTGGCTGGGCCCGAGGGGCGATGTCTTGCCCCCATCTTCCCCCCTCCTCCTCCTCCTCCTCCTCCTCCTCCTCCTCCTCCTCCTCTTCCTCCTCTTCCTCCTCTTCCTCCTCCTCCTCCTTCCTTTTTTGTGCGAGAGCCATGGCGCGCGTTCCACTTGTTTTCTGGTCGTCCGTCGGTTGATGTGGTCGCGCCTGGCCCTCGGCTGGCCCTCGGTCGCTCGGTCTCTCGTCTGCCCCTTGCTGGCTGGTTCTGTTTATTCTTCGGTTGTCCGTCGGTTGTCCAGCGGTTGCCGTGGTCGCGCCTGGCCCTCGGCTGTTCCTCGGTCTCTCGTCTGCCCGTTCCTGGCTGGTTTTGTTTTTTCTCGGTTGCCCGTCGGCTGTCCGTCGGTTGCTATGGTTGCGCATGGCCCTCGGTTGGCCCTCGGTCGCTCGGTCTCTGGTCTGCCCCTTCCTGGCTGATTTTTTGTTTTGTTTTTTTCGGTTGTTCGTCGGTTGTCCGTCAGCAGTTGTGGTCGCGCCTGGTCCTCGGCTGGCCCTCGGTCGCTCGGTCTCTCGTCTGCCCCTTCCTCGTTGGTTTTGGTATTTTTGTTCGGCTGTCCGTCGGTTGTCCGTCGGTTGCTGTGTGCGCGCCTCGCCCTCGGCTGACCTTCGGTCGATCGGTCTCTCGTCTGCCCTTGCCTGGCTGGTTCTGGTTATGATTATGTTGAACGTCGGTTTTTCGTCGGTCGCTGTGGTCGCGCGTGGCCCTCGGCTGGCCCTCGGTCTCTCGGTCTCTGGTCTGCCGCTTCCTTGCTTTTTTTCTGTTATTTTTCCGGTTGTCCGTCGGTTGTTGTGGTCGCGCCTGGCCCTCGGTTGGCCCTCGGTCGCTCGGTCTCTCGCTCGTCTGCCCCTTCCTGGCTGGTTTTGGGTATTTTTCGGTTGTCCGTCGGTTGTCCGTCGGCGTTCGTGGTCGCGCCTGGCCCTTGGCTGGCCCGCGGTCGCTCGGTCTCTCGTCTGCCTCTTTCTGGCTGGCTTTTTTTTGTGATGGCGGTGGTGGGTGTGGTGGGTTGTGGTGGGTTGTGGTGGTACTGGTTGCGGTGGCAGTTTTGGTGGTGGTGGTGTAGTGGTTTGTGGTGATGGTGGTGGTTGTGGTGGTGGTGGGTTGTGGTGGTTGTGGTGGTGGTTGTGGTGGTGGCGGTTGTGGTGGTGGTGGTGTGGTGGTGTGTGGTGGTGGTGATGGTGGTGTGGCCTTCGGCTCTTCCCGCCACTGTGTTTTGGCTTTGGTTCAGGGTTCTCATGGATACCTCTTGAGGTCTCGTCAGAAGGGTCTCGGGGGCGTCTGAGGAGGATACGAGGGCTCGATATGGTGATTTGTGTGTTCTCTCTGCGGCCTCTGGGCCCTCTCTGGTCATCGTCGCTGCGTCCCCGCCGTCGGCGCTGCTGGCCGCCGCCGGCGCCGGCGCGGGAGGGGGGAGGGGTTTGAACCCCCCCCCTCTTGGGCCCTCTTTGGTCATCGTCGCTGCCTCCCCGCCGTCGGCGCTGCTGGCGGCCGCCAGCGCCAGCGCTGGCGCCGGCGCCATGGGGGGGGGTTAGTGGATGAGGGAGTCCCCCTGGTCGACGGCGCCGAGTGTTTGGGGGGGGCCCACCCCCCGGTTCGAAACGCGCCGCCGAAAGTTCCCAAGGCAAGCGCCCGTGAAACGCGCTCTCTCAGATTCCAGGATCTGAGTTTGATCAGTTTTTGGGAAATTTGGGTTCGTTTGGGGGGCGCTGGGGTGTTCTGAGAGCCCCGTTTCCTGAGGGAAACATGCGCTTTGTCGAGGAAGTGTGGCGACCCCCGTGGAGGTGACCCCCCTTGGCACTGCCTGGTGTGCGCACACCGTCGAGGCTGGCTACATGACTAGGCGGGGGGTGGATGCGATGGCGAGGGCCATGAAATCTCCGAGATCCCATTGCCCCATCTGCTCCTTGCAGCACGTCCCCTGGAACCCGGCATCCGCGCACATGCCTCGTGCCACGGTGCGCCAACCGCCCTCATCCTGACCACCACTTCGGCGCACCCGAAACGCAGACCAGCTCCAGCTCTTTACCCACGCCTCCCCCCGACGCACGTCGGGGGGAGAGTGGGCAGAGAGTAGCGCCGTAACGTAACGTCGACGTTACGGCCAGGAGCCTTTGCTTCGCGTGTCGCGTCGCCGGTTCTGACCTGACACGCTCCGGCGTGGCACGTTGGACCCATCTTAGCCCCAGGCATGTTTCCCCCAGCCTTCCGCCCTACGAGGCGGAGCCTCACGTTGTCAGTTTGCAAGGCATGGCGTGTCGCAGGGGCCGCCGCCGCCGCCACAGGCGAAACCAGAGTCCCTGACCGCATGTGCATCGTTTTCATGGCCGCCTTGTCCTCGTCTGACCCCCAGTGGGCCCTGCTCTGCAAGCAAGGTTTGCAGATAACCTGCACTTTCTTTTCGGAAGGGGCTCTCGATGTTCCTTGGCTCCTTACATTTGATTTCCCTCGGTGTTTTTAGCGATTCGTGCATCTAGGCAGACGCAGCTAAGGCCCAAAAGGAGTTAATTTCCTTATTCAAGGCTCCTCATGACTGGGTGACTCCAGTAACTGAGTGCCTCCACGGCCACACCCGGCCAGGCAGACAGTTGAGGATGGGGCGGGGGCAAGAGCGAGCTGTTGCTGCACCCTCTTCTTTCTCCTGGATGTCTCTGGATGTCTTCAAACATTGTTGCAGAGCTCTCTGGCATTCCCCAGAGGCCCCCATAGGCCCCCCGAGGTCCGAGAAGACCCGACAAGTCAAAGCGGCCCTGGCAAGGCACCTTATCAGCAGGAGTCCGAGAAGGCTCCGGGAGGGTCCCGAGAGGGTTCCCGGGTGGCTGCTCAGAGGGTCATCGGAGAAGCTTCTGGGAGGCATCGGGGCGGCAGCGGGCCAACGGCGCGACTGCACCGGGCACGCAGCCGCCGCCGCCCCCCCCCCTGGGAGAGATCCGGATCCTTCTGCAACCCTTGTCGGAGCCCTAGAGCGAGACGAACTTGGGGAGCGTCCAAAATTGTATCCTCGACGTTTGATCCGTCCCTCTTCGCCTTTCTTTTCGGTGGGCGGGCCTGCGGGAGGAAGGTGATTCGCATTGGAGTCCCCTCCCCAGACCCTGGAGCAGAAGGGAGGGGGTGGACGAGGAGGGTCAGCAGAGGGAGCAGAAGCACAAAAGGCGATTGGGAGCCACGGCCACACTCCTAAAGCCCTTCTTCCCGCAAGCAGGCTCTATTTTTTGTTGTTGTTCTTCCTCTCTCCCTCTCTCTCGGAGGGAGATTTCTCTGCTGGGCGAACTCAAGGTGCTGGCATGTCGTTCGTACGGAGAGGGACTCCTCCTTCCCCTGGGGATGGGGGTAGTCCTTGCCTTGCGGGCCTTGCCATCCTTTTCACGGGGCTCGAGGCGCCCTGGGTGAGCCTGGAAGGAGGAGGAGAGACAGGAGGCATGAGGAAGAGGAGGGGGAGGAGGAGGAGGAGGGACAGGAGGCAGGAGGAGGAGGAGGAGGAGGAGGAGGAGGAGGAGGAGGAGGAGAAGGAAGAAGAACACGGCGGAGGACGACGAGGAGGGACAGGGATGCTGCCCGTAAGAGGAGGAGGGAGGTTGAGGATGAGCATGAGCCAGGTTGGGGACGACGACCGAGACGACCGAGACGACCGAGACGACCTGGACTACCGGGACGACCGAGACGACCGAGACGAAGACGGTTGCGACCACGGAGGCGACGACGATGACGACAACGACAACGACGACGGCGAGTGACTACATCCGAAGCTAGCGTCAAGAGGATTCTCCTCGGAGGCAAAAAGTCATCCATGCATTCCTCGATTTTTGGGGGGCGCCTGGTGCGTGTGCCGCCTGCCCCCTTGATCTTCCAGGGTGCCGGGGCACGTGAGCGCGTTCTGGGCACGCTGCGTCATTCTGACCTTCATCGCCGTGGCTCAGAAAGACAACTATCGGGCTGGGAGGATGGGTTTGGGAGAAATGATGAGGTCGTCCGTATTACCGCGTACGTTGAAGGTGTTCATTGTACAGTCGTGCCCCGTATCTTCCCAGCCCCTTCCTCCCATCACGATCATTGTCTTTCCCCATCTCCATGGCTGATTCGTTGAGGAGATCGGCTGCAACACTGATTTACCCAGAATTTGTTTTCCCGTCGAATCTACGAACAAAAAACGTAGAACGAGTATAGACCTCATCAAAGTCGATGTATTTTTCGTGGAGTCGACGAACGTTCTCAAACCCTGGAGCAACTCAAGCCTGTAGTCGATCTCCTACTCGACTGGTCTTTGACCGTGCGCGCCCCCCGGGTGCCCGCCAGTCCGCCCGCCTCAGGCGGACTCCGCGGGCCAGCTGTGCGCCTGCCAGCGGCTCGACAGCGACGGCTCCGCGGGCGCGGCGGGCTCCGTGGGCTCCGCGCGGCATGCCGGCGAGGCCGAGGGGGCCGAGCCGCCGCTGGCCGACGAAGCCGAGCCCGTCAGCGACGGGCCCGCGACCGAGGACGGTCCCGCGTCGGCGTTCGCTCCTGATGCTCGCCCGCTGCGCTCGCCCTTCCTCTGTCCCCCTCTTTCTCCCGCGCGTCGTCCTCCTCCTGCCTCCCCACGCCTCCTCGTTGCCTTCCGTCCTGCTTCTCCTGCTGCCTCTCTTCCTCCCCCCTCCTTTCTCCGTCCTCCCTCCTCCTTGCTCCTCCTTGCTCCTCCTCCTCCTTGCTCCTCCCTCTCTCCTCCTCCCCCCCTCCTCACTGTTCATTCTCCCGCCACCCTCCTCCTGCCGCAGCCTCCCCCCTCCGCTTCCTGAGGGGCCCCCCTCCGCTTCCTGAGGAGGGCGGGAGAGGTGGCGGGAGGAGGAAGCGCAGAGGGGGAAGAGGGAGGATGACGAGGGAGGGCGGGGGGGGGGAGTGCCTCCCTCCGTCCTCGCTCTCCACTCCTCCCCTCCTCTCTGCCCCCGAGGAGGAGGAGTGCCTGGGCAGCGGGGGCTACCCCTCGCAGACGTGAGCGCGGCGCGCCCCGTGGAACCCCCCCCTTGCGCGCGGGGGTGCGGCGGCGACAGACCGCGCCAGGCCGCAGACCACGAGGGATCGCTGCGACGACGACGACGACGACGACGACGACGACGACGACGACGACGACGACGGAGGCGACGACGACGACAACGACGACGACGTCGCCGACGACGCCGACGACGGCGGCAGCGGCAACGACGACGACGACGGCGGCGGCGACGACGACGACAGCTTCCCCCCGGGGCTCGCCGCCGAGGGCAGCTTACGCTCCCCGCCCCAACCCCTTCCAGGGCGCGTCGCCCGGGTGGCAGCGGAGCCCTGCCGAAGGCCTTAGCGGCAATGCTTGCATGGCGTCACCCGGCCCATGTCGACACATCTCTCATTCGTTTCGTGACCCCATTGGGAGCTCCACTCAAGGCCTGAGCGGCAGTCCGCAGGGCTTACCTCCGCACATCTCGGCATACCCCTCACACGTTCCGTTGCCCAACAGAGCTCAACCGAAGGCCCCAGCGGCAGCGCCCGCATGGCGTCACCCCGCCCATGTCGACACCCCCCTCGTACGTTTCGTGACCCCATAGGGAGCCATACGGAATGCCTCAGTGGCAGCGCCCGCATGGCGTCACCCTGCTCATGTCGACACACCCCTCACACGTTTCGGGACCCCACCTTCGTCACATCCTCGTTGGGCCCGTCGCCAGGACAATGTAATACAAACGTGCGTGGCGCAAGGCAAGAGCAACATGTTGAAAACGACCCCCTCATCCATCCGTGAACTTGGTATGTGGTTTTAAGACGAATGTGCGCGGCGCTAAGTCTATACCTATATGTTGAAAATGCCCCCCCATCCATCCGTGAAGCGCTTGCGCAACGTAAGTTTCAGGGCCAGGAGCAGTGAGCAAGTCTTCTGACGCGCCTCGGGGTGCGACACCGCCACCGTGCTAGCCCAACATTTGCGGTGACTACTACCCTGGGGGCAGCGGATTCGGGCACTTGCGGGATATCGTGTCTCTATGCTTGAGAGGGCTGTGGTGGGGATGCAGAGCATGATGCGGATGGTGGGGGTATTTGGGATGATGGTGATGATGGTTATGATGCTGACGATGATGCTGATGATGACGATGATGATGATGATGATGATGATGATGGTGATGGTGATGATGATGATGATGATGATGATGATGATGATGATGATGATGATGATGATGGTGCTGCTGATGAAGATGAGGATGATGCTGTTGATGGTAATGATGACGGTGAGGATGATGATGATGGTAATGGTGATGATGATGGTGGTGATGATCAGGATGTTGATGATGATGATGATGGTGGCGGTGGTGGTGTTGATGCTTAGGATGCTGATGCTGCTGCTGCGTATGATGCTGATGCTGATGATGCTAGTGATGATGAGGTTGATGATGAGGGTGAGGACGATGATGCGGATGCTGGTGTGGATGATGATGAGGCCTCTGATTGTGATGCTGATGATGATGAGGATGTCGGTGATGAGGATGTTGATGGTGGTGATGCTGCTGATGATGATGCTGGCGATGATGATGTGGATGATAAAGGCGATGGTAATGATGATGTCGCTGCGGTGGATGATGTGAGGAAGGTCACGGTGATGATGATGATGACGACAATGATACGTTTGATGGTGTTGCTGTTGCTAATGATGATGACGATGCGTATGTTGATGTTGATATGTGTGAAGCTGGTGATGATGATGACGATGCTGCTGATGATGATGATGATGATGATGGTGATGATGTTGTCTATGATGAAAATGAGGATCGTGGTAGTCTGATAGTGTGATGATGGCGATCGTGCTGACGATGGTGATGATGTTGCATGGTGTGGTTGATGTGGTTCTGATGCTGATAATGATGATGGCGATGATGGTGACGATGATGCTGGTGATGTTATTGGTGATGGTAAAGGTGGTGATGATGGAGATGGTGATGATGATGGTGATGATGACGACGACGTGGAGAAGGGTGGACGGGGCGGAGGAGGAGGTGGAAGAGGAGGAGGAGGAGGAGGAGGAGAAACGGGGAGGATGAGGAGGAGGAGGAGGAGGAGGAGGAGGAGGAGGAAGAGGAGGAATAGAAGGACAAGGAAGAGGACGCCATCACCTGTGACACCCCTCGCCTTCAATCTTTTATGAGCTTTCAAGTGACTTGGTTGGGCCGCCTTGGCGCTGTCCTGGCCTCCTAATGCAGTTTTTTGGGGGGGCCCTTGGGGCCCTCTTGGGCCGCATTGGGGGTCTCTTACGCCGTGTTGGTGCTCTCTTGGGCCGTCTTGGGGCCCTCTTGGCCGTATGGCGGGTGACTGGGGGCCGTCGTGGGGGCGTCTTGGGCAGTCGAACGGCCTTCTAAGGCAGCCTTGGGTCCCACGGGAGGCCGTTTCGTTGCCGTTTTGGATGCCTCTCGGGCCATCGTGGGACCTCTTGATGCGTCTTGGGACCCTCGTAGAGGCTTCTTGGGCCGTTTTGAGCTGACGGGAGCCCGAAAAGACAATATTGCGACCCTCGTTAAACAACAGAGGGGACTTCTATAAGTTTGGCCACTTTGGACCCTGTTGGAGGTCCTCTTGTGGCCCTGTTGGGCCCCCTTGGGGGCATCTTGGGCTGTCTTGAGGCCATAGTGGGCCGCCTTGGGGTCCCGTGTGATTGGTTGTCTGTAGTGGGCCGTCTTGGAAGCTTGGGACCCAGATCCACAATTCTGTTACGAGGGGGCGTGGCTCCAGGAGCGCGGTTCCATAATTTTTGCCGAAGGGCCGTGGCCTCGGGATGAAGGGCGATGCATGCAGGTGGACGCGTCCTTGGTGTGGGGGGGGGGCCCTTGTAAAGATACAGAGACCTTACTAGGCGGCCCTTGGCATCCTTCCGCGCCTCAATTTGTACAGGACACGTTGGCGACGTATAACAGCAAATGACAGGAGAAGGGAATGGGAATGGGAATGTCTGTTCACTAAGTGAAAAAAAGAAAGAAAAAAGCCTTTTCCCAGGGAAGTATCCTTCCGAGCAGAGGCCAGCCGATTCTGTTGTTCGGTCTTACTCAACACTTTAGGTTGAAGGCCCAGCTCTATTCTACGAAGGTACTCGGTTCCCGTGGGTGAGGCCTTAAGACTACACTCTTTGTGAAGGTTACACTTCCTCTGACTGGCACAACTACCGCAGACATGACAGAACCATAACTGAAGCTTAGTACATAGTCTCATACTGTGGCTCTTATGGACCCAGCCCCCCCCTATGTGAATATTGTCTTCAGCCCCGAGGGTGAAAAAAGAACCGTTTATATTCACAGGGTGAAAACACGGGCTGGCCTTCCAGAGGCCTGCGGTGGCCAGGGAGGCAGTACCAAAACACCTGGTGCAGCTCTTGCCGCTCTCCGACAAAACATGGGAGGTAGTGAAATTAACGAGGAAACGGGCCAAGAGGACCGAGAGGCGGGGGGGGGGTCTCTGGAGGCAGGGGGTCATTCCGCAGCCGCCGCATCTCACTCCTGTTCGTCCCTCTCGTAATCCTCGTTTATTTATTTGTTATTCTTCTCTCTATATATGTATATATTCACGTGCTTCTTTCTTTGTTTGTTATATGTTTGTTGTTCTCTCTCTCTCTCTCTCTTTCTCTCTTTCTTTCTTTTGTTTTCTCTCTCTCTCTCTCTCGCCCCCCCCCTTACCATCCATCTTCCGACGTTGAAGACAGTTTTTCCACGTCGGACCGCCAGACATGTGGGTAGGGCCGTCTTGGGTTGAGAGCGGGTCGCATTTAACATATGGCGATCGATTGAACATGGTTCACCGTGCCTAGAAGCATTAGGCTTGCAGTCCTAAGCAACTACGCTCATGACGGATAGGTTAATCCCCAATTCTGGATGTTTTTGGGGGACCTTCGCTGTTACCCTGAGCGTGCACTGGGGTTCCAACATAAGATACGTCTGTTGCATGTGCGTGGGCGCTGGCAGAGGCTGCAACCGATTGTCAGCGTGGTGAGGATGACGTGCGCTCATCTTCGACGACGGGTTATTGATTCTTTCAGCTCCCCCTCCCCTGCCGAGTCCTGGCTGTGGGGGCTCAGGAATATCACCGCCCAGACCTGAGGAGTTCCTGAACTTGTGGTATGCTCGCGGCCCCATGGCACATTCACCTTTTTGGCGTCTGCCTGCTGCACATGTAAGACAGGTTGCTGCTGCCCGTTGAGACGGGAGGAAACATTGCAGCCTAGTTGATGCACGCCTGGGATATATTCTGGACGCATCTCGTGCTGCGTCTCTTCCCCCTCCCTCTTGCTCCGCCCCACCCTCTCCCTCCTGATTCTCGTCCTACCTCTTCTCATTATCGCCCTCACGACAGCGCCCTCCGGCCTGGCCGGGGCCCAGACAGGTCTGGGACTGCCGCGCCCAGCAGAGCCAGATGAGCTTCGACAGTCCTGGGTTGTTTGCCAGCACGCCGGTTCACAGCGTGGACCTCCACCCGAACCAGGCCCCCTCGGAGGGTACCTGCGCTTGAGACAGGGGAAGGGGGACGAGGAAGGGGACGCTGAAAGAGGATGAGGGTATGGCGCGGACTTGGATGAGGAGGATGACAGGGCAAGCTCGCCAGGTCGAACGAGCCAGCGGGCCCCTTCGATTCCCACCCTCCCTCCGATAACAAATGGCACAAAATCGTATTGGGTCTGAAGCGCATCCCTGACGAGCGCTCAGGAGATGCTCGCGCGCGCTGTGCTGACCCGTGTCCGACGACAGCTACGCGGTCAACGAAGAGGCGGGAATGAACCTTCAGGCAATCCTTGTCCAGTGCTGCGGTGGGAGCACAACTTAGTCCACTATCGGGTGGCCAATTTTTCGATGAACGCGGCGAAGAGGATTCACGCGCCGCGCCGAACAGCACTGGAGCTTTCACACACAAACTGCGCCGCGCTTGCGGGGCAGCAGTTCGCTTGCTCTTCTGCGGCCCCGTTGCCGCTGCCGGTTTCATGCGATTCGGTGAGCGAAACATGCGCCAAGCCTAAGTGGGAACGCCACTTCCAGGCAATGTAGGAACGGAGCCTGGGCGAGCACAACAGTGTTCTGGCGAGTGTGAAATAAGAGCCCCGCCGAGGCGGGAACGCCCTTTTCAGGCGCAGTAGGCACGGCGCTGAGGCGAGCGCGAGAGTTTGCATCCGCTCGCGCGGGACTCCGCTGTCGACGCGAAAAAACGTTTGTTCCGCGCCCAATCGGGAGCTCAGCTCTTGGGAAAAGTGAGCACGGTACCAGGGCGTTACCGCCATTTCGCTGTTGCGCGAGGGACGTGCGCCCCGTCTCATTCGTGGCACGAATTTGGCAACGTCGACGCAGACATTGTGTTATTGTTGGCAGGTAGAGTTGGGATACCCGGACCTGGCCGCTTTCGGCCAGCTAGGTGGTTAGCAGGAACATGCGCACGGAAGCGGGATAGGAGTCTGATGAAGGAAAAAGTGTGCAGAAGACGATGAGGACGAGAGGGAGCAGAGGGAGGCGCAGAGGAATAGGATGATAATGGTGATGGTGAGGATGCTGATGAGGAGGAGGTGGAGGAGGAGGATCGGGATGAGTATGTCGGAGGAGGTTGTCTGATGATGATGATCAGGATCGTAAGGGGGATAGAGTGGGGAGGAGAAGGAGGGGCATGAGGAGCAGCAGGAGGAGGGGTGGAGGCGGCAGCATGAGTCGCAGGAGGTTGGGGAGGGGAGGGCAGGACAAAAGAAGGTGGGCGCGTGAGTAACATGATAAAAGCCTTGTAGCCTATGCTTGTAGATCAATTAGGCCCAAGCTGTCGGGTGGGGCCTCAATCCGTCGGATGTCTGGAACCCCTCCTCCTCCTCCTCCTCCTCCTCCTCCTCCTCCTCCTCCTCAAGCCGCAGGGCCGGCCGTTGACTTCTCTCCTGGAGGCGGTGTTAGGCGTTAGGCGTAGGATAGACATGCCTGATAATAATGGAAGGGGTTCGCCGCGTTGCCTCCTCGTCATATTTGTCGTCGATGTTTATGTACCGCTTCTCCGCGTGCCTTTGCTTCAGGTCGAGCTGGTCGCTGGCGACGACCAGGGTCGGGTTCACGTGTGGGACCTGGTCAGCGGCCGGGTGCGGCGCATGATGATTCCGCAGGACATGCGGACCGGCCCGTTTGCCATCTCAAATTCCAGAGCGCGCCTGTGCGCACGCGCGCTCGCGCGCGCATGTGCGTGTGTGTGCGCGCGCGCGAGTGTGTGTGTGTGTGTGTGTGTGAGTGTGTGTGTGTGTGTGTGTGTGTGTGTGTGTGTGTGTGTGTGCGGGTGTGTGTGTGTGTGTGTGTGCGGGTGTGTGTGTGTGTGTTTGTGTGTGTGTGCGTGTTTGCTTGTTTTAGGGCGTTAATGGCAAAAACGTGGACGCCGTGGAGGAAAACGGAGGCGGCGCTGGCGGCGTGGAGACCGACGCCGAACCCGACACCCTACCCGAGTCCCTACCCGACCCCGTGCCCGACGCCCCACCCGACGCCCTACCCGACGCCGTCCCAGACGCCTTTCCCGTCGCCTTGCCCTCCGACGGCCGTCCCGACGCCCCTCCCGGCGTCCCCCCCTTCGCCTTCCCCGACGCCTTTCCATAGTTCGACGCCCGCCCGACGGGCCGCGCCCCCGAGGTGGCACAGGAGGCGGGGGCGTTAGCGGTTCGTGATGCAATATATGTGGTGCGATCTTTGTAGTGCAGTCGATGCGGTGCGATTTATGCGGTGCTCGTTTATGTGATGCAATACACCCACGTGCGATCAACATATTGTGCAATTTATACGGCGCAGATTATGTTGGCCCATCTACGTGGAGCAGCAGACGAGGTGTAGCCCATGTGATGCAACATATACGCGGTGCAAAGTACGCGGTGCAACCTATATGATGCGATTTTTGTCGTGCTGCGATCTACGTTGTGCAATTAATTTGGTGCAATATGTGTGCTGCATGTTCGCGGTGCAATCTACGTGGTGCTATTTATTTCCACAAACACCCACCCACCCGCAATGTGGTTTGCAAAACCCATGCGGTGGCGATTACTGTGCATGCTGGGCGTTGGTTGGTGCATCCCTGCGGCCGCGCCAACCGTGGCACGCGCGCGCGCATCGGCCAGCTAGTTTGGCGCGACTGACGCGGCCGCGGTGGCGCTGACCGCTGGGCGCATCCCAGCGGGCGCACTTCACTGCGAGTCGGCGACTTGGGCGGGCGCCGTATCATGGCAACGTCGACAACGGTTGACGCGATGACGATAGTAGCGATGCTGGCGGCGATGTTGGCAACGACGAAAGCGCGGCCAGCGCGGGCGCCGATGCTGATCGCGCCGACGACGATGACGGCGTCCTCGCGTCGGCGATGAAGGTTTTGGAAAGATTTCGACACGCGCGCGCGGCCGACGCGCGAAGTGGCCCGCGTGGCATTATTTGACGCGGATCGTGCTCCCCCCCCCCCCCCCGCCCCCCCCGCGCGCGCGCATGCGAATGGTGTCGGCGCGCGGCGCGAGAGGCCAGTTTGGGGTAATTTCAAGATTGCCCCAGTGCGACCCTACCTAGAAGTTGGAGCCCCTAGGAAAGCAGCATTAGTTGCTATGCTATGCCATGCCATGCCATGCTATGCTGCGCTATGCTGCGCTACGCTATGCTATGCTATGCTAAGATGTGCTATGCGAAAGCCCAGCGAAGCTAAGATGAAGGTAAGCTGAGCTACTATAAACCTGAGCTAATATGAAACTAAGCTAAACTAAAATGAAATAAGCTAAACTAAAATGAGATAAGCAACGCTAAGCTACGGGGGCGTAGCTGGGGGAACCGCGGGGCGGATACTGGGGGGGCCGCCCGGGGCGCTTTCCACTGCCTGGCCCCTTTGAGCCCAGAGAGTAAGAACCCTTCTTGGCAGAGCCTAGGTCGGGAACAACGTTTCGCGCTATCAAAGGTTATGGTTTCGTCAAAGAATTCGCAAGGGCGCGGGCGCAGCGTGCGCGACGACGCGGGCGCGCGCATTTCATCCCGTTGTCTACTACGGATTCTCGCGACGGCGCGCGCATGAAGGTGTTCAAACGATTTCGACATGAGCGCGCGCGAAGCCCGTTTGGCCGCATTATCTGAACACGTTGAGAACCGGCGGTTTTCCCAAGCATTCGCAAGAGCGCGAGCGCGAGCTTTTGTCGAACATCGGCGTTGTGAAACCAGGTGGTTAAGTTATGGGTTTTTTGATTGTTCGATTTTGAAATCTTTACGCGGCGATCGGTTTTCGACGGGTTGCGGCGTGCGCGCGCGACGCGCGCGCGCACTTCGTTGAATTTATTGCGAATGGGTTCTTGCAAACTTATGATTTGTGATAAACGAGTGCGCGCGCATGATAGATGTTGCAGAGGATGGCGGGGGGGCCGATGCCGGCTGGGCCGGGGCGGTCGGAACTCATCTTTGGGATGGGCGACGGGGCAGCATCACGCGCGCACTGCAGTGCGAGGAGGGGCGCCGATAATCGGGGGGAGGGGGTAGGGTCTCCCTTAAGAAAGGGGAATCCATGTAGTGCAATCTGCGCGGTGCAATTTATTTGCGCGAAGGAGCTGATGCGTCCCATGCCGCTGCAAACTCCCCGCCCGCCCGCCCGCAACCTGGTCTCCAAAACCCATGCGGCGGTGATTGCCACGCATGCTTGGCGTTGGCTGGTGCATCTCCGCTGCCGCGCCGACCCGAGCAAGCGCGCGGCGGCCAGCTAGTTTGGCGTCGCCGACGCGGCTGCGGCGGCGCTGACCGCCGGGCGCGTCCCAGCGGGCGCGTCATTGCGAGTCGGCGACTTGGGCGGGCGTCGCATCATGGCAAGGTCGCCAACGGTAGACGCGACGATGATAGTGGCGACGCTGGTGACGACGTTCGCGCCGGCGACGATGACGGCGCCCTCGCGCCGGCGACGATGATTTAGGAGAGAGTTTGACACGCGCGCGCGGCCGACGCGCGAGAGCGGCCCGCGCGGTATTATCTGGCGCGGATCGCGCCCCCCCACCCCCCCGGGCACGCGCGCAAGGGCGCGCGAATGATGTCGGCGCGCGACGCGAGTGGCCCGCTTGGCAAAATCCCGTGACACGCTGGAGAAGAGTCACATGGTTTCCTTAAGAACGCGCAAGAGCGAGAGCGCGTGTTTGTTGTTTAGAAACGGATGCTGCGAAACCATTTGTTTGGTTTGTGCGTGGACATTCGGTTTTGAGATCGTTGCGAAACCGTTGGTTTTCGATCGGTTTCGGAACGCGCGCGCGATGGCGCGCGCCCGCGCTTTGTCAGATCTGTTGCAAAGGATTTTCGCGACGGCGCGCGCACGAGGGCGCCCGAGCGATTCGACGCGCGCGCGAAGCCAGTTTGGCGGCATTTTCTGAACATGCAGAACAAGTCAAGCTTTTCGTTCGGAATCGCAAGAACGCGCGCGCAAGTTCTTTTGTTGAAGATCTGCATTGCGAAACCCTGTGCTTGTCATATGTTTCTTTGACGCTCGATTTTGAAATCTTTGTGCGCAACCAGAGGCCGTCGCTGGATTTCGGCGTGCGCGCGCGACGGCGCGCGCGCGCGTGCACTTCGTTTTTTGTTGCGAGGGGTTCTTGCAAGCGGGTGATTGTTTGATATACGAGTGCGCGCGCATAGTATGTTTTGCAGAGGAAGAGGGGGGGGGGGGGGGCGATGCCGGTCGGGCCGGGGTGGCATGAGCTCATGTTTGGGATGGGCGACGGGGCGGAACCATATGTCAATTGCAATGCGAAAGGGGGGGCCGATCTTCCAGGGGGGGGCCGAGGCTGTTATTCTGTAGAATGGAGAATCTACGCGGCGCAATCTGAGCGAAGCGGCGACGGGGCGGCGACAGCGGCGGCGACGGCGACCGCGGAGCCGCCAGACCGACCTGCACGCGCCAGACAGGCCGGCAGGCCCAGACGATGGACCACGACGAGACGGCGACGGGGCGGCGGCGGCGAGCATGGAGCCGCCAGACCAGCCCGCAGGCCTTGTTCTTTCGAAAATATGACCCCCTAAAGGCAAGCACTGTTTAGGGGGCGACATCGATCGCGCCGCGTCGATTGCGCAACCTGCAATGCATTGCGTAGATTCTCTGTTTCAGAGAACAGACTCCACCGCCACCCCGAGGCCGGACTCATCGAGGCCCCCTGGGGATATCCCAGGCCGCCTAGATGGAGTCCGAGCAGATGCGGTCGGAGGATCGCGCCGCATCTCCGATGCATCGACGATGCGGCTCGATCGCGTCGACGTCGCCGATGCGTCGCCCACGTCGGCGACGCGTCGCAGGCGCATCGCCGAGGCATCGCCGATGCATCGCCGATGCATCGGCGGTGCGGCGCGACCCCCGACCCCCTCTACTCCGATCCCATCAAGAGGCCTCTAGACGTGCAGTTTACAGATGTTTATGCCTCATCGTCCATCCTAAGTATGAATTCGTACCATCCCAGCCGAGCCGGCCCCCCGCCTCATCCTTGCCAGAAAACGCACTGCGCGCGCAATCTCTTATCACAAATCGCAAGCTTCCAAGAATGCCATGAACAAAAAAACAAAGTGCTCACGCGCGCCTCGTCGCGCGCTCATGCCGAAATCCTACAACAACCTCAGGTGTCGGTTAGGATTCACGGCGCCAAGCGCCCCGAAAACGTCGAAACACAGGGTTCCGTAACGCGGGCTTTTAAGACAAATTGCGCACGTGCTCATTGCGAATTCTTAAGCAACAAATCGTGTTTCAACATTTTCAGACAATGCTACCAAACGGGCTTCGCGCGCGCATGTCAAAATCGTTCGAACACCTGTGCACGCGCGCCGTCGCGAGTGTCCTCTGCAAAAAACTGACGAAGTGCTCGCGCGCGTCGTCGCGCGCGCATGCCGGAATCCGTGAAAAATTTGCGGCGTCGTGAGGATTTCAAATTCGAGCGTCAAAAAACATAGAAAACACATGGTGTCGCAACAACAGTTTTCCTCAAAAAAAAAAAACGCGCTCGCGCTCGCGCGAGTTCTGAAGGAATACATATGTTTGTATAGGTTGCTATGAAATTTATTGTTGTTCTTTTTTAATAGCCATGGAATTATGCCAGGCGGGCCTCGGGCGCCGCGTGCCGGCATCATTCGCGCGCCCATGCGCGCGTGGTGGTGGAGGGCGCGATCCGCGTCAAATAATGCCGCGCGGGCCATTCTCGCGCGTCGGCCGCGCGCGCATGTCGATTTCTTTGCAGAACCTTCATCGCCGACGCGAAGACGCCGCCAAAGTCGTCGGCGCGATCAGCATCGGCGCCCGCTGGCCGCGCCGTCGTCGGCGCGAACATCGTCGCCAACGTCGCCGCTATCATCGTCGCGCGCGCCGCAGTCGACGTTGCCATGGTGCCGCGCCCGCCCAAGCCGCCGACTCGCAGCGAAGTGCCCGCTGGGGCGCGCCCAGCGGCCAGCGCCGCCGCGGCCTCGTCGGTCGCGCCAAATTAGCTGGCCGCTGCGCGCGCGCGACTGGGATGGCGCGGCCGCAGAGACGCGCCAGCCCACGCCAAGCATTCATCGCAATCGCCACCGCGCGGGTTGTGCAAACCATGTTGCGGGCGGGTGGGTGGGGCGTTTGCAAGAGCATGGGA